AATGCATGAAAATCCTAACCTCAAAAAAATCACCCGTTATGTATATGCAACATTCATAAGTGCATATGTATGTATGTATGTATGCATGTGTTAACCAAAACGGATGCTGCAAATGGCAGCAATTCAACCAACAGTTGCTGCTGCTTCTTTTTGCTCTTCTTCATTTTACCATTTTCGCTGATGCTGCTCCTGCTGCTGCTGCTGCTGCTGCTGCTGCTACGATTCAGCAAACCGATTTCCCGTCCTTGTCAGTTTTGTGAATCAATTCGGTCGGTTGGTCGGACGGTCGGCAAAGCACGAAGTCTAATAAATAGCGTTTCAGCTGCCTTGTCCTTGGCATCGTCTGCATCAATGTGTGCAATTGAGAATTTCTTTCATTTCGGTGCTTTCAATTTTCCACATAAATAGACAAACATATGTACGAATGTGGTGTGCGCGCGCAAGTGTGTGTGTGTATATATATATGCTTGTAATTTTTTGTTTACTGAACAACACACATCCATACATACATACCTTGCAGTAAAATTTAGAGACAGTCTGTTAAAGCGCTACTTCCGCCCTACACATTTCAGAACTATCTCTGAACTAATTCTCACTTCACGTACAATACGAAAATAGCACAGCAGGAAGACCTCCGGCTTAAACAGACGGCAGCGTTGATACGGATCAACTCGTTAATTCGGAATTATCTCGGGAATTAACTTCGGTTGATCCGGATTAAGTTCAAGAGTTAATTCCCAAACTTAACTCGGATCAAGCGAATATTCGATGACAACACTGACGAAAACTCAGAGAGCTTAGAAGCGTACAGAGAAAGTACAATACTAGCATAGGCATATACCTTTCCATCGGTAATGCAGTCACCATACTAATTCAGATAGGAATCCAATTAGAATTAAATAAGAACTTATTTGAATTAATACGGTAACTGCATTACCCGCGACAAGGTGGATGTCCATGCTAGTTTTGAATTTCCTTTGTGTTCTACGCTCTCTGAGCAAATTATAGTATAATTTTTAGTTGAATGAATAAATAAAAACTAAATGGCCGTGAATCCCAACCTACGACCTTCTGGCTCGTAAATCCGCGTTACTGCATCTGTCAAGGCACAATTTTGATCAGATCAATTGCGGCGTTAATCCGAATCAACGTTGCCGTCTGTCTAGGCTTTTAAAACATCGTTGGTCGCGAGTTCAAAACGCGGTGGAGGCAGTTGCGATTTAATAAATTTAATAAATTAAAAATTGAAGAGAATATGGTCAAATTTAATATAAATAAAATAAAAGGGTAAATAAAGATTTAATAAAATTCAATCTCTAGAAGAACAGAAAAAAACGAAAAAAGATCAAAAAATCGAATGATCAGAATTTTTTAAATAAAAAACTTATTGTTCCAGAACTGTCCAAAATGGAACCAGTTCCGAACTAGTTCAAAAGTTCTGCAGAGGGGGGCAATTTCCTCCTCCATGGGACATCGCCATGTAAAAAGAGACAGTTGAAAGCATTGCGTTGGGATAGTCGAGAACCAGCACCGCCTTTTAAAGAGCTAGTTCTGCGCTAGTCCTGAACTAGCGCGATTTACTGCAGGGTACATACATGCATACATGCTTGTGGAAACTTTTACATGCCCACGCTGGTTGGCCAATTTCCTTGCAGACTGTTTGTGTACCGAAATTCTCCACAGTACTCACGCACTCACGAGTACGAGCAACGGGTTCTGTTGCAAGCTTTTTTGTGTGGAAATTTTTCTCATTGACAAATTTACTTTTCACTCTCACTTTTTCTCATTCAACTTCGCAAGTTTCCACCTAACTAGGAAAGACTTTCTCTCTGCGGCGCAAGCACTCTCATTATGCGTGCGCGCTCATGCTCGCTCGGTCTGGCCTTCTCTCTGAAATCACGAACATACTTTTGTATATTTTTGTATTTCGATGTAGCCACGCCGCGCGCCAACGATAATCATTTGGGCTTATATCATGAATGACTGCTTCGGCAAAGTTCAGCTGTCCGCCTCATTTCCCATTCAGCAGCAACAAAGTATATTAATGGCAAAAACAATATAAACAACAAGAAACGAAAAGTGAAAGTCGTGCATAAAAATGTGACGCATGCGCGGAACGCAAACGATACCAATAATCATAGATTCGTGTTGGAAGTGTAGCCTCCTATTTAGTAGTTCCTATATAAACACCCCAAAAAGAGTAGCACGGGCAACTCGCAACACCATTCGACACAATTGGATGGCCATAACTGCCACATATATATGTATGTATGTATGTATGTATATGTGCATGTAAGCAGCACAGCAAAGGCTGAAATGAACAGCGGCGCCTTTCATGCCAGGCCACTGTTAACCTCTAACCCAATAACAACTCAATGCGCTTTTGAATGAACACCCGTTAAATAAAAGCTCAAATTTCATTCATTAAAACCACGTAGGATGACGCGGATACGTATTATAAATTAGCTAAAGTCAGCAAATTCGCCAAGCAGGCAACTTAACGAACTGAAGCTTTCTTTCCTCCGCTTTTTCGATATCAACTAAATACCTCTTTTGTAAATTTTATTCAGAACACATGCCAGCCACCAGTCACTCTTCTTCTTTAAAATATACTTATCTTCCATTCGCAGCTCTAGGCGCGAGTGACGATACGACATCGGCGTGGCCAAGCATATCTGGCATACACAGTGAAGTCAAGCATGGCTCGGCACGGCAGCTGTTGGGCTCCAGTTTTATGCGCGACAGCATTGCGCTCCAACAACAGCACAAGCAGCAGCACCTTTTCCGCTCTGGCGCTGGTGTCGGCGGCGGCGGCGGTGGTGTTATATCGCGCAAGCAAAATCAGAAGCCGCAGGAGTCACACGATCAACATCATATAAACGAAAATGACGAGGACAGCTTCCATCCCTCTGATTTCCCTCCGCATGAACATCCCGATGACGAGTACTTCGGCCAATATGCGCCCGAACTCTACACCACGGAGTCACAGCAGGCGCCGCATGAAGCGAATTCTGCATCGCAAAATAATGGCGGCGGCGCTGGTCTTTATGGTGAACCACCGCGTCACCGTGATATTGGCGCACGCAGCGGCAGCAGTCGCACAGATCTCTATGGTGTGCGCGAATCCGGTGATCGCCGTGAAATGACGCGCGGACGCGAGGGTTACATGAATATGTTGCACAACAAGGAGAAAGTGTTTCGGCCGCATGTTTCGCTCGTGCACGACGAGCCGCGTCTGCTAAGTCCCAATGACGGTTACGCGCATACCTGCCAGAATATGTGCGGCGAAATGCAATGGCAATGTCCCACAACATGTACCTGTATTGATCAGCATGCGCGCTGCGACAAGAATACGGACTGCGAGGATGGCGCCGATGAGTTCGATTGCGAAGTGATCGGCGATATGCTGCACAAATTGCAAAAGGATTGCGAACAAACGGGCTTGCATGTGATGTGTCCACGCACATATCGTTGCATTAACAAGGAGTGGCTGTGCGACGGCGACGATGATTGTGGCGATTATTCGGATGAGACGCATTGCGGCGCGCGTACCAATTGCACTGACGAGGAGCAATTCGAGTGTCAGAATGGCTTTTGTATACCCAAACAGTGGGTGTGCGATGGCGAAAACGACTGCAAGGATTTCTCCGATGAGGCGCATTGCAATCGGACGAGGTAAGAAAGCGCCAACTGTTTGTATTTGCTACCAATAAATGCGTAAATAAAATGCGAAAAACCAACCTTCGCAGACCACCCACTTCCATTTGTGGTCTGTGCGACTAACGCGTGTTCAAAACTCCTTTACTTGCTGATCTCGCTTTAAAATTGGCTGTTTAGCCTACATTAAATTTGTTTCCCTATCTCTTCCTCTCTCTAACACTTTAGTTGCTCTCCCGAACACTTCACCTGCAATGACGGCTACTGCATTTCGATCGCCTTCCGCTGCGATGGTGAGCGCGACTGCAATGACAACTCGGATGAGCTTAAGTGTCCGGCGGTCTTCAATCGCTGTCCGGAAGGTGAATTCAAGTGCCGTGGCGGTCATGGCGGCCCCAGCGGTCAATGCATTTTGAATCGTTTTCACTGCGATGGTGACAACGACTGCGGCGATTGGAGTGATGAAGAGGACTGCCCGCAGAAGCCCTCCGAATGCACTTCCAATGAGTACAAGTGTGCGGATGGCAGTTGCATACCTCGACGCTGGAAATGCGATAAGGAACAAGATTGCGAAGGTGGCGAAGATGAGCACGACTGCGGCAGTATGATCGCCGGACTGCCAGCGAAGTGTGGATCGGACGAGTTTACGTGCAACAATGGACGTTGTATATTGGTATGTGGCATACAGAGTTCAAAAATGTTGACATTTAGTCATCAATAATTTTATATACACCAGAATACCTGGCTCTGTGATGGCTATCCCGATTGCTCCTCCGGCGAAGATGAGGTTGAATGCCGTCTACAATGCGATGCTGGTCAATTCTTGTGTCCCGCCAAAAAGAATTTCACGAATTTGAAGTATGAATGAAGCAAAAATTTTAATGTCTTGTCTACATAAGATCCCTTCTTCATTTTCAGAATCTGCGTGCATCAGAAACACGTCTGTGATGGGCAGAATGACTGTCCGTTCGGAGAGGATGAGGTGAACTGCCCCCATCCGCGCACATGCGGCGAGAAATCACGCTGCGAGCAATTGTGTATTACCACCGCGAAGGGGCGTGAGGAGTGCGCCTGCAATCTTGGCTTTCTTATGCACGAGAATCGCCGAAAGTGAGTCTGCGGTAAAGTGTACGACGCAAATTGTTAAATGTTTCTGTCTCTCTCTCCTTCTCGCAATAGTTGCACTGATATCGACGAATGCCAATACATTACCAGCCCAGTTTGCTCGCAGAAGTGCCAAAACACACAAGGCTCTTTTATCTGCTCTTGCGAAACAGGCTACGTATTGCGTCCGGATTTGCGCACTTGTAAGGCGCTTGGTGGCGCTATGACGCTTGTTGTGGCCAACCGTTGGGACATCAGACGTGTACAGCTGAGTAATAACCGCTACTCGGCTGTGGTGAAGGGTTTGCACAACGCTATTGCGATCGACTTCCACTACCGCAAGGGGCTGCTCTTCTGGTCGGACGTTTCCACGGATGTCATTAAAATGGTCCACATGAATGGTTCACGCTTGCGTGATGTCATCAAGTGGGGTTTGGAGTCGCCTGGTGGATTGGCGGTCGATTGGATACATGACTTGCTCTTTTGGACTGACTCGGGAACGCGACGCGTGGAAGTTTCTAACTTCAATGGGAATCTGCGTGCGGTGATAGCATCAAATGATTTGGACAAGCCGCGCGCCATTGTTATACACCCCGGCGAGGCGTTGGTGTTCTGGAGTGATTGGGGTGAGAGAAATTAGTAATTATAGTCTAGATATTGCACTGATTACTTTATCTTTTAACACGCAGGTCCTAATCCGAAAATCGAACGAGCTTATATGGATGGCTCGCAGCGCCAGATGATTATTTCGAATGGCGTCACATGGCCGAATGGCCTAACCATCGATTATCCCAGTCGAAAGCTCTATTGGGCCGACGCAAAGCAACATGCCATCGAGTCTTCGAATTTTGACGGCACGGATCGCGTAAAAATACTCAGCACACATTTACCACATCCCTTTGCGTTAACAATTTTTGAGGACACCATGTATTGGACCGATTGGAATACGAAAACTGTTTCGGCGGCAAACAAGATCACTGGTAAAGGCTTTCGTTCGGTACATGAGAATTTCCACTTTCCCATGGACATACACGCTTACCACCCAGCACGTCAGCCAGAATATCCGGATCGCTGTCAGAAAGATCGAAGAGGTCTTCGCGGTGGCTGCTCTCATTTGTGTCTGCCCAACAAGCTGTCGCGGCGTTGTGGCTGTCCCATCGGGCTCTCGCTCAAAGAGGATGGGTAAGTTCTTGCACTTTCTTGACTTGCATTCATATCGCCTAAGTATTTTTTCCATTTTCATGCAGCAAAACCTGCAAAAGCATACCCGATAAGCTGGTGCTCGTAGCGCGCAGAAAGGATATTCGACTGCGCCAACTGAATCCAAAAGCGTCAGCTGCCGCTGAAGTTGACATGATTTTACCATTGGACTATATGAAGCACGCTGTCGCATTGGACTGGTGTAGTGAAACAGACTATATCTACTGGACTGATGTGGAGCGCAGCACGATCAATAAAGCGCACCTCAATGGCAGCTACCAACAGCGTGTCGTGCATTCAAATCTCGTCTCACCAGCCGGTTTGGCATTAGACTGGATCACCGACAAACTCTATTGGACCGATCCGGCGACTAATCGCATAGAGGTGGCAACATCAAATGGCAAAAAGCGTACCCTACTCATATGGGAGAAGCTCGACAAGCCGCGTGATATTGTAGTCAATCCGATAGAGGGTATACTGTTTTGGTCCGATTGGGGTGAACACGCCATGATAGAACGCGCCAATATGGATGGCAAGCAACGCGTAATCGTCGCTGACGCAAATCTTAAATGGCCTAATGGCTTGGCTATAGATTATGAACAACAGAGGTTGTACTTTGTGGATGGCGGTACAAGGACGTTGGAAAGCATGGACTTTGATGGCGGCCGGCGTAAAGT